TGATTAAATAAAACAAATACATCACCTTATTTCCATTCATTCTTGTACTTGCTGCTTTTTGCCAGAGTTGGTCTGGTTGGAAGAGAAAGTGATACACACCTCAGTACAGCCAAAATAAAAATTTAAATACAACAATAAAATCTTCTAATTTCCCCATGATTTTTCAGTTTTTATTCTTGCATAGACTTTATAGATCTGTTAAGCAAACAGGACATTTAGGCTGTACTTAGGTCTGGTAAGGAGCGACCATTAGACTTAGAGAGGCTACAGGGAAGTTCCTTTCACAGTGAAGTTTTTGTCATGATGTTGGGATATGTTCTTGATTCAATACATAACTTCCTGTGAATTTGTACATGCAAGAGGAAAAATAAGGAACTGTGTTGTAATGTGCTATAATAGCTGTCTTATACTGCATCTGTTTTTGTTGGTTCTAGGGTGACTACGTGCACAAGTCTGTGTTTATTATTTTTTTCCAAGGTGATCAACTAAAAAATAGAGTCAAGAAAATCTGTGAAGGGTAAGCAGAAATCAGATTTCAAAACAGCTGGTGCTCGATTTTTTTTTTTTTTTTCTCAGCACTTCTGAAAACTGTCACTCATGTTTCTAATGCATCTTGAAATTCAAATTGAGTGTCATAATATGCACATTAATAGTTCCTAACATTTGTATTAATCAGAAAATCTATGATGCTGCTGCAAAAAATAGCATAATAGAAATCCTTAGTTGACCTCAGTACTTCTGAAAACTGTCACTCATATTTCTAATGCATCTTGAAATACAAATGGAGTGTCATAATATGCACATTAATAGTTCCTAACATTTGTATTAATCAGAAAATCTATGATGCTGCTGCAAAAAATAGCATAATAGAAATCCTTAGTTGACCGTGACAAAGTAAGCCTAACAAACATCACATGGTATGTGTTACTGATGTGTAGTGGACAACCAAATTAGCCACCCTCCAGTTTTTAATCCTTAAAGTGGATGAATTGCTTTTGCTGGTACAGAAACACATCTGAAAGCAATCCAGCTATCACATACTGACGTTCGCTCCCACGCATTCTTCTCATTGGAAACATGACACATTTTCTGCTTGGGGAGACCAGTGCTTCTGAATGGTAGCTATGTTGGTGTAATGTCTCTCATTTTAAGCACCACTGGTTATTAGTTGAAGATGCTGTTATGACTTGTGGTGTTGCCTAACCTCTCAGCATATTTTTTCTTGGTTTTGTTGTTTCTCTCTTGCTCAGAATGAATCTTACACCTGCAAAATGCACTATGTTAATGTCAAGGGCTGGACTTTGATAAAATCCCACTAAAGCCCATAATCCTAAAAGGCTCTTTTACAAAGCATTGTGTCAGTTTGGCTTTTCATCTGAAACCATTCAGGTGAACTAATTCCCTGTGCTTCATCAATATCTGTTTTCCACTGAGGAGCTTTGCATCTCCTTTAGGTTCCGTGCTTCCCTCTACCCCTGCCCGGAGACCCCGCAGGAGAGGAAAGAAATGGCTTCTGGAGTCAATACCAGGATTGATGATCTTCAAATGGTAACCATGCAGAACAAATGGCGTCGTAGCTGCTTTAGCCTACATAAGAGCAGTCATACTGGGTTAGACCAAAGGTCTATCTAACCCAGTGTCTTGCCTTCCCAGAGCAGCCAGTGCCAGGCATCCCAGAGGGAATGGCCAGAACAGGGAATTCTCAACTCCTCCATCCCCTGTTGCCCATTCCCAGCTTCTGGCAAACAGAGGCTAGGGACGCCAAATGTGGGGTGGCTTACATGAACTTAAGGCTGGATTTGCCAAGACGAATTGGCCAAGCTTAGATAGTTTGCAGCTAAATGAGGCAGAGAAGCTGCTGTGACATTAAACAGTTTTGACATTGCAAGATCAGAGAACAGTTTTCTTCCTCTACTTAGTTCCGTTCAGCTGCATTGTTAGGGAGGTTCAGTTTTTCCAGGAGGCTGAGTGAACAAATCTGTACATACTGGCCTTGGTAGTGAAATTCATACTATCAGGCAAGGGGTGAATATGCACCGAGAGTAAGAGAGGAGTGCATCTTCAAAGCTAGAAGTGTGATGCTATGAAGGGTCTGGTAGATGATGATGGTCAAATCTGTGTTCACAGTTTGATTAACGAGCTGGCATTAGTTCATTTTCTGCCTGTCTGTGTGCTTTGGTGGTGTGCTGGAGTATTAAAACCTGATCTCTCTTGCACTGCAGCTCTGGGTCAGTGCAAGCAATGATTGAATACATGGTGAGCAAAGAGCTGAATTGCAACCTGTGAAGGTGCTAACTCTGTCCCAGCTAAATCCAGGGGGAGGGAAGCAAGATGCATTGCAGGAAGGCTGACAAGGATTGATTGGGTGGAGAGATGTATGGAAATAAAATGTCAGGCGAGGAATCAGCTGCAAATGCTGCAATGGAAGGCACTGAATGCAGGGCATTGTTTTAATATAGATGCCAACTCTCCAGCATGAAGGTGCTTAGAGCAATTGCTTAGCAATCAAAGAAGGGGATCCGGGCCGGGGGGGGGGGGGTGGTACCT